GCCTCTGGTAGAGGACCCGAGCTCAGACGATGAAAGAGACCACCCGCGGAGGGTGAGAAGGGAATTGATTTTTTTATATATATATATATATATATACATCTACTGTTTATCCTGCACCTCTGAATTGGTTTTTACACATCTGTAGGATCAGAATATCATGCAGATTCTTTGTTATTATATCACCTATACACTTTATACACTTCTAATAAAATAAAATACCTTATAAAAATAATAAAGTTCACTTTCTTTCTTTTTTTCTTCACTTGAACTTCAATCCCTGATGTCCTTCAGTGTTCTCCTGATTCAGGTCAGGAGAACACTGAAGCTCCACAGCCTTAGCTCAACCTGTCTGGAAGTGTAGATAAACCTTATTTAACATGACACTCATATTCAAACCAAAAACAAACAAAACCCTGCAAGATCTTTAACAAAACTTTATTTTTAAAAAAAAATTTCTATAAACATCCATAAAACATCCATAATAAATTGAGTAAAAAAAAACTGATACAAAATTTTCAAATGAATAAAAGAAGTGCAAACATCACAGCATCTAAAATCTGACAGCTTGTGTTCTGAAGAAGAAAAAAAATGATTACAACTGATTGAAACGTGAATGTACAACATTTTCATTGAGCCGTACTTTGTTGCAGTAAAATCTTATAAACGTCACCTGACCATTTTCTGGATGAAATGCCAATTTTATTTCAACAGAATACACTGAAAACGATGAAAACATTAAGTTCTGCTTAAATAATGCCCACAACATGTTTTCTAATCACATTAAAAGACAATTCTCCAAAGCTCTATAACAATCTAAAGTGCTATTTAAAAAAAAACGTAAAAACCTGATATATCAAAAAGTACAGCTCAAAACAATAAATTTACAATAAAAAAAGCTTATCTAAAAGGTACGGAGCTCTTTAACGATAATAAAACATATTTTCTTAATACAATAAAATAAAACCACAGCAGTATAATTTACAATCATTAAGCTTCCTATTGTTTATACACTCATAGATAAAGCTTAACATAATTCCCAGATTTTAATCTGAATTAGAGACAAGTTCCTTCTATAACTAGAACCAGTCTAAGTATCCTGTAGCTCCAGGCCCAGGTTCTGACTTCCTGAGAGATGGTGGCTCTACAGTACCAGCCCAGAGAGGAGGGATCAGCTGATACAAAATCTTTTTTGGCTGCTGAGTGAAGAAGTTTACTACAGGAGGGACCAGATGCACAAAACTAACATATTGTTCTTGTTTTTGTCCAAGTACACACAGAAGACCAGGGCCGGCCCTAGCCAATTTGGTACTTTATAGGCAAGATTTCGGGAGGTGCCCCTTGTGCAATTTTCTAAATCTCACTTCCAATTTACTTAGTCACATACCAAATTTTGTCTTTGATATTAATTTTTATCTTTAGAAACCAATGTGTCCAACTAAAATAGTGAATAATATAATTAATTTGAAACAGACAACCAGAAGTCTACCTCATACCTGCCAACATCTGCTGACAACGAGGAACACTTGTTCATGTTAACGAGCAGCTGTGGAGTGAAGCAGTTCTAGTGGGGGTCCAGGGATATGCTGAAGGATATTTGGTGACTGATTACCTGAATTTTAGATAGTCTTATATTTTTTACTTTGTGTCTATATCCTTGTTTATTATGACATCATATCAGGGGTGGGACGTGATGCTGATATAAAACTGGGTTACGTGTCCCTTGGGACCATTTATTAGGATGGACCAGAMCTGAGTTACGTGTGGTAAAGTCCACGTCTGCAATTACATATTCAAGGCAAGTTTCCTGTGCATACTTTGGCTGCAAACAGTGACATGTTTCTTACAATACTCCCCTGGAAAACGTTGTAAAATCCTTACTTAAAACTATGATTTTTTTTTTTCAGCCATTTGAAGAATATTTTACAAAATTCTTGGGATTAATAAAAAAAAAACATAAAATCAGTATTTTATGAAGGTAGAACACTAAAAACCAGACTTTGACATGAAC